AACCGCATGCCAAGCAACGTGGCTGTTCCAGCGTTGGTTTGAAGTTGCAAAAAGGTTCCTGACCCGCGCATCAGGCGGACGGAGTCCACCGATGGGGTGGCCTGCGGTCGCTCTTTTACTCGCCGGATCTGTTCGTTTGGCAACCTGCGCGGGATTGTTGCCTGGCTTGTTGCCGCCAGACCTTGCTGAAACTGGCTTCGCAATGCCGCTGCATGGTTTCTTTCGTTGCGGTTTCATGTGCGCTCTTTAGCCGTCAATGCTGTCTGGAAGTTCGAGTTTGCACCGTTGGCAAACACTTCGGAATCGTTCAAAATTTCCAGGACGCAGCCTGCACTTTGGCCTCCAGACTCGGCAACATGTCGCAGCAGCAGCCATGCGTGCAAGTACAGCTTTCTGTCTGCTTTGTTGGCTTTGCCGCCAGTTTGCCAGATTCCCAGCATCCAGGCCAGCATCGAATCAGTCAGTATCTCCAGTAGCAAGACGCGCAGCAAGCTCAGGTCGTCCAGGGCGAGGACCAAGGTTTGCACCACGAAATTCGCATAGCGGTCTTTCAAGAGCGTGTTGATGTCGTGCTTCAAGAAGGTGCTGCCCAATTCGGCTTGACTGGTTGCACAATTGTTTCCGCACACGGCGCATTGTAAAAAGCGACATCCGCGACTGTCTTTGGCCAGGCTGATGGCTTGGGGCAACAAGGCGTCGAAGAGCTTGCCGGTGGTCTCGCTTCCCGTCAGACACAGGACCAGCTGTAGGCAAAAATGTCCATGCTGGTCCTGGGCAATGTCGGCCAGTGGGACGTCAAGATGTCGAGCGTGGAACAGTAAGGCTTGCGCGAGGCTCTCGGCGTGATTAGCATCTTTATGGAGACATTCTTGCAGAGCACAGCTTCCTCTGGGCTTGCGGACCGCATTCCACAGCTTCATGGCTGCAAAGAGACTGTTGTTGCCGGTCCACTTTTGAAGCAACCGCTCGGCTGCCTGTATATCCAAATCATCCACTTGTTTGGGCGTCCGCAACGGCTTCAGTCGGGAGGTGCTCTCATGCAAGGCTGGGAAGCCTGTGTCGGTCATTGGCGCAGCTCCACTTGTTTGGGCGTCCGCAACGGCTTCAGTCGGGAGGTGCTTTCTTGCAAGGCTGGGGAGCCTGTGTCGGTCATTGGCGGCAGGGCATCTTTCGTCGTCCAGCAAATTTGTCGGATCGTCATCTGCGGCCACATCTGCAACATTGAGCCTAGTGGCAAAGACTGGAAGGTTTGCTTCACATGGAATCGTCCATTTTCGAAGCTGGCAATTTCTTGAGCACCACGAAAACCGCCCGAAATCGAATCCAGTAAGAAGATGAACCACTGCTGGTTCCCAGTCACCAGCCACTGGCCATCGTCCGTGAACGTCACACGGCAGCTTTGCCCGACAATGGCCTGCATGCCCCGGAAACCGTCGCGGCTGTTGTTGGGCATGATACACGGAACGGCGGCCATCCTGATGATGTACGTGGTACAGAGTTGGCTAGTATTCGAGCCGATATCTGTTCGCCGACAGACAGAAGTTGCTGCATTCAAAGAAAGCGGTGTTGCTGCTGGAAAGTTTACGCTGCATAGATCAAACTTGGACCTTGAAAGCGTTGCATGGTGTGCCAGCTAACATGTGAACTGCGAAAGAATCACTCCATTGAAAGCATCTCAGATACTGGTATCAACCCTAGCTGCTTGCATGTTCGCATCTGGCGCGGTGCACTCGCTCCATTTTTCTGCGAGGGCTTGGAAAATGGGCTTTATTTAACCAAGCTCCATAGACGGCCCAAAGTCTGAGCACTCTCTGGTTGGCGCTCTGTCTCAGGTGGTTGGAAAGCCGCCGAGAGTCCTATATGTAAAACTGCATCCGCACCTTGATATCCAATGTCCATAGATCTGTGCAAAATGGCCGTGAAGCACACTGCTCATGCCTGCACAACTCCAGACTTTGCCGGTCTACTCAGTAAACTCCCGCAGCATTCGCCACGTCAGCAAGTTTCCGAGGCATTTGGCAGGAACATCGAAGCCTGTGTTACAATCCTGGCACAGAGATGCTGGCCATGCTGAGCTGCGCAAGCTGTGGAAGAGCCGAAAAGCTGTAAGAAAAGCACGGGCAGGACGTGGCTGAATGAGCACGAGAAGCTTTGCATGTCTGGATCATCAACTTTGCTTTTGCAGCCATACTTACAGTTTTTCAGCAATGAAGTCGCTGGAGCAATTCCAAGATCGATGGTTGCATGTGCAGCAGCATCCTCCTCAAGCATCGGTTCATGTCGTTGTCGAACCAAACTGAGTCGGTGCAGACTGCTCGGAAGCGAAAGTGGTTGTGTTTCCGTCGAGTTTGCTGGTGCGGTTCAAGTCAGCGTGAATTGTGACCTCTGCTGCTCGGTCTTGCCCACGAACCTCGCACATCTCCCTTTTGGCTACTGGCTGGCGCTGAATGGTCTGTGGGTGAAACGTTCACGCATGGCTGCTTACACTCTGTCGGCACGACTCCTTTCTCATTCATCCGTGTTCAAGCGAGCGTGGTGAGCCCAACACCTGTTTAGGGCGGTGCTTTGGGTTGCGATGTACCGGTTTGGATCGCGTCGAAATAGTTTACGACCTTCAGCATGTGTTCGTAGTCTTCTACCGACACGAAGCATTTCCAGTCGATGACGGTGAGGAATTGCGAGACCATTTTCTCGAGCTGGTGCGAATCTTCCATTCCCGTAGCTCTGGCCATAGTTCTCCAGCTGAGGCATGCGTCCGAGAGCCAGGTGTAAGCGACGACCGTAGCGCTGGCCACCAGCTTGTACGCGGTGGTCGGTTTGAGGAGGCCTGGGCTGTTCCGGACGATGCGTGAGACGAGAATCAAGGCGGTGACGAAAACGCTCTTTGGCTCTGGGGCAGATCGGTGTTGCAGCGCTGTATCGAAGAACATGTTCATGCGCTCGAAGTATTGTGGCATGCTCAGGCAGGGCACATGAACGGACTCGAAGCACGTCTGGTGAGTCTGGTAGTGATTCCGGACACCCGTCGAACAGGACGCTGAAGACTTATTGCTGTGCCAGCTGTGGGTTGTAGAGATGTCTAGAAGTGTTGCTATGACGAGTCCGCAACCATTGCAGACGCGTTGCGTCTCCTTTTCCATGACAAATCGGGGGTTGCCGACGAGAAAAGCTTGTGCTGCTCGAGCTTCGTGGCTGTTAAGCTTGACCTGTGACTCAATCGCATCCGACGCTCGGAAATCGCGTGACGGGGTGCCATAGTCGTGGCATTTTTCTGTCTTCTCATACAAGTTCTGCAGTCACCTTGCGACCAATCGCTTCCTCAAGGCTGCGACCAGGACGGTTTGCCTTGGCACAACACCGGACAAGAGCATCTTGATGGGATCGGGCCGCTGCGATATTTTGCGCTAAGGCCGCTTCCGATACAAGCCGAGCCGTAGCCGACCGCGCAGCAGGACCTTCTCAGCGCTTCCGTCGTTTGCTCTGGCCTTTGAAAAGCGGAAGCATGGCAGGCAGGCTTTTCGGCGCGGTGCTGACTCGGGCCTGGTCGTGGAAGATCTGGAAGGCAGATGCAGGGATGTGATGAGACTTCGACTCTATTGTTTTGCGAGGGCACCTTGCCGTGCAATGCATTCGGGCGACAGAAAAGCCTTCCTTTTCTGCTACACGGCCTCAGCATTGAGGCAATCATCACCGCGTGCAGAATCGGGCCATTGGAACGAAGGATCTCCTTGTCGAGCCTCGCGGTTTGTCGTGGAATCTGCGCCGAGCTTTCATGAGGGACTGGCTAAGGCTGTTGCTCGTCGACGGGCTGCGCGAGCTTGTCGTAAACGTTGCTCGGTAAGGGTGCATCATCCAGCACATGCCGGACAACGGCAACTTTCGTAGCCAGGTCCTGGCAGTTCGGGACAAAAAGTTCTGGAAGAACTGCAGTGCCTGTGAGATGCCGGCTAGATGAGGAAGCCGTTGATGCCGCCCCTTAGAAGAGGGAACAGCACTGTTCGTTTTCGGCTGTGTCCGTCGGCTGAGGCTCTTGCCGCCGCTGAGAAACTCTTTCTTGTCGCCGTGGCTGTGTATCTCATGTTGAGCCGGGACGTCTGTGATGGACGCGGACGGGGAAGTCGTGCTCATCCGACAAGATTGAGCCATACGGCAGAAGTGAGTCCGACAGCTTGGAAAATTGGAAACCCGCAAAGTGTTTCACCATGCGCACAGCCACAGGACTGAGCAAAGAAGCGTGGCAGTGAAGCAAAGGAGAACAGTATCGCCATTTTTGGCTGCTCGAATCTCTGCATCGAAGAAAGGCCAGCAATCGGAGCCGTCGTACAAGCAGCCAAGCAGGAGTTAGAAGGCGATCACAGCGCTGCCAGCATAGCTCTGCATGCAGCCATGACGGCCAGGAGCCATATTTTCAAGGCCTCGCGAAGGAGGGCAAAGGCAGCTGAGATCTCCGCCGTGCCCGTGTGCTCTAAGCGAAGCACCCTTGACTGGAGACCCTCAAGCCTGGCATGACTCCTTGAAAGCTCGCGAGAAAGCTCTCGGCGCAAAATCAGGGCATGGTGGGAGTCTTGTTGCTCGAGGTCGTTGGTCCGGGCTGACAAGGCATCCGTTCGTGCATGGATATTTGAGCACATCCCAGTGTTGTACGTCACACTGTCCTCCAAACCCGACATGCACAGTTTCAAAGCCTGAATGTCTTCCTGCTGTTTCCACACCAAGGCTTCAACATCGGAGCTGGTTCTGACCAGGGCAGATGGGCCGGCGGTCTCAGAAGTCGTAGGAGAGAACTGCTCGATGGGTTCTTCCAGTTCTGCCAGTTCTTCATGCGACGAAGGACAGCGAAGGCCGTGCCGAGAATCTTGCATGCTGGATATGCTTCTTCCTAGTGGGAACCTGAAACAGTAAAGCTGCGACGTTTGGTGCATGCATCGGCTCTTCGTACTGGAGTGGAACTCGAAATCTTGGTTATTGTTACCCTTGAAAGAAGGCGATGGGCACGGAGCTTGCACACCAATGGCCAAGGCGACAGTTTGCACTTCCATTTCCGGCAGTTCAGTAGCACTCTCACAGAATGGTTTCAAGCAGCACATCCGCAAGTAGTCCTTTGAGTACGAGAACGCTCTGGTTTGCTTTGGGGATGCATCTGACACGCGGTAAACCAACAGAACTTGTAGACACTCAAAATACCTATGCACACACACATGCGCACACACACACACAGTGTAGCCGTCATACTAGGAACTTGCACAAGCACTTTGTTTCGAGACATGCCGGCGCTCCGTGCTCAAGCCCCCATTCTGCAGTGCTTGTTTCTGTCTGTACGTTGATCGAGCCGAAACATCAGAACTTGTACCGTTTCAGGGTTTTGTACCCCCTGCCGCAGCGACAGTTTTCGGTTCAGTCGTCCGGCATGACGCTGTACTGCAACGACAAGAACTTGGAATGGATGCGGGGCACCGCGCGTCTCGGGCTTTTGCAGCAGCAACGTGTCGGCGTGCAGCCGATGTCCGCTAGTTGCATCCGTTGTGCGATGCTTGGGGGTAAGCGGCGACTGAGCTTCTCGACGTCGATGCAGTTGAACCCAAGGCGGATCCAAGAGCATGCCTTCAAGTACGTGTTGTCGTCTGCATCTTCTGCATTGGGTGACCCAACCTGTAGCAACAAAGCTTCAGATGCCAAGGTGCACAGCTCGTTGTGACTGAGGTGCACCTCTCGCAAAACGTTCGCGTGCGTCTTGAAGAATGCGGCGAGTGGCCGGGTGCTGCGAAGCCTATTATGATGAAGATAAATGGCTTCCACCGCGCCGTTGATGGCACCCAGGAGCTGAGCAACGTCGATTTCGTTCAGATCGTTGGGTTCTAGATGCACTCTCAGAAGCTTGCGGGGCGGCTTCCACACACGCGGCGCAGAGCTCCAACGCTGCACCTCCTGAGGTCCTCTGACGAGGTGGACCAAATCGACGTTGCCGTCCGCACTCAAGCGCTCGCATTCCGATGGTGTCAGCGCGTCCATGGCAGGCAAGGTCTGCTGGCAAAGAGCTGCAGGAGCACAAGAGCTAGGCTTGAACAGTCGGCTCTCCACACATGCGAGGATGTCTGTGGCCCGATCCATGCTCTCTGATGCTGTTTCTGAACAAGTCACTGGCTCATTTTCCGTCAAAACGAAGAGCGGCGCATGCTTCTGTAAGACGAGTAGGAGGATCTGTTCCCGCGTGCCTTGGCTGCGGCCTTTTGCCCACGCTCCAAGGCTACAAGGGCCTGTCGCATGATTTTGTTGAGGCCTTGAGTTGCGGTGAGACCCTTGTTGCGCACGCCGATCAGGATCAGCTGGTCGAGTCCCTCTTTCAGCTTCCTCCAGTTCTCCATCCACGCGTCTGCTTCTGCCCTGGACAAATCGCCTGTGCATTGAGGCTGTGCGACTGGC